ACTGCTAATCTAAAATGTTTAATATTGATTATGCAAAATGTGATTTGCATTCTGAATTTATTATACATTTCAATTCAGACCAGACTCATTACAAGAATAAGTTTCGCATTAGAACGATCAAGTGTTTTGGGATTCCTATTCTTGTCAGAGTCAGCCGTAGTTTGTTATGATCTACACAGTCAAATGCCTTTGCATAATCAATGAAAAACAGATAGACATTCCTCTGGTATTCCCTGCTTTCAGCCAAGATCCATCTAACATCAGCTACAATATCTCTATGTACAGCTACTAACTAGGAGGTTGGAAATGTAGATCTCAGTAGGAAAGACTTGGTGATACACTTCTGAAGAATTTGGCAATTGTTTCTACCATTGTGTTCCCTATAGAACACAGTTCTACTCTGACACATGTAGTGTCTCCATGAATTAGCTGGAGGAACCATGTTTGGGCTTGATCATACTCAATGAACGAGTATTTTCAGAGCTGTTTTAGTACTATATCACCTATGAACCTATGAATGGGACCTTATTTGAAAATAGCATCTTTACAGGTGTAATTAGGCATGGTTACCTCAACTATCAACCATAGTGAATAGATCAAATCATTGTCCTTCCCTGTGATGTCCTCACAATCTTCACCATTGCTAAAAGTCATTATTGCAGTCACTATATTAAATCTCTGTCATTGAGGGTCTTCCTCTCTTTTGCTGACCCTCTACTTTTTTCAACCATTATATGAAAAAGACTGAAATACATGTTCTTTAATTCATGCTGTAGTCCTCAGGGGGGAAAGTAGGCAATTGCAATTGATAAGTTGTCAATTAAAAAAACAAAAAATTATCAGTCTGCTCAGTACAGATTTGAAGCTTTCAACATCAAATTTGATATTTTAAATGTGTCTGTTGATTATAAGAAAATGAACTTTCAAGCAGTAAATAAATGAATAGCTGACTGTTTTTAAGGCCAGTGGAAATTAAAATGAATCTTTTTAAAACCCAGTATTGCTGTAAACCCTGACCTGACTTTACGTCTCAATATAAGCATATTCTGATGTTCTTAATATCCAAAAGTTCTGTTCGTTTTCAAAACATGCAATTTGCTCCTTGTCCTAACATGAGTAAATATCCATTTATTTGTCTCATTTCTGAAGAAAAAACATTAGATGTGAACTCTCAGTCTTTAAATAATTTTTTTTTAGAGTACAAAAACAGCATCAGAGCCGCCTTTGGCTCCGCCTGTGTCTGAAGAGGAAGATGAGGAAGAGGAGGAGGAAGAAGATGACAATGAACCTCCACCAGTTATTGCACCAAGACCAGAGCATACAAAATCAGTAAGTTACAGATGAGCTGATTCTTAAAATTTCCGTTTATTGAGCCTCTATTATGCTTCTAAAATAGATCATAAATTGGAAGTTGCTGTTTGCTACTATGAGATTAGCACATGGAATAATTAGAAAATACTTCCAAACAATATATTATCTTGAAATTATAAACATGCTGCAGAAGTGAAGACAGAGAAGGAAATTTGTGTGAACCAGGTTGGAGGGACTACGTAAACCAGAATTAACACAGCATGTATCGGGTCCCTAAGTATATTTGCTTGAAAATATAAATGCTTGAAAAGCATTCTGTGGGCAGTGTAGATAAAGCAATTTAAAGTTTTGCTTTTGTCTGTTGTTCTTTCTGATGGAAAATCACCTTTAAAAAAAATGTATTATTATAACAGGATCTTGAAGTCTTAATTGTAGATTCTCCCCCACCCCCATCTTTTAGATCTACACTCGTTCTGTGGTTGAATCCATTGCTTCACCAGCAGCACCAAATAAAGAAGCCACACCACCTTCTGCTGAGAATGCCAATTCTAGTACCTTGTACAGGAATACAGATCGACAAAGAAAAAAATCCAAGATGACAGATGAAGAGATCTTAGAGAAGCTCAGTGAGTATTTTTTAGTTGCTTTATCATCATTACGTTCTTACGGAGAGGATATCTGGAAAAGCTTTTAGAATGGGAGCCCATCCTTTATAAATTGAACCAACGTTTATCAACTGTAGGCGTCCTGAAGTGACCAGATGGGAAATGTCTGAGATTCTCCCTTTATCCCATATTACTCCCTCCTTCACGCTCCTAATTTGTTGTTGGTGGTGGTGTTATGTGCCAGTGAGTTGGAACCAATTCCTAGCTAACCCTCAAGTAGGTTATCAGAGGTCATATCACATGGGAGCAGATTACCCATCTTTCTCCTGAGGAACAGTGAACTGACTGCCTTTAGGGTAGCACAACTCCTTTTCCCACTAGACCACCAGAGCTTCTTGATTCCTAATTTAATATAAGCGAAATATTTTCACTTGGAAAGTTTATTAAGGGAAATTCTTAAATAATGTGTAGGTTGTTTTTGTTGTTGTTTATTGTTGAGTCAGAACTGACTCCTGGCTGACCCTCCATCAAGTTTTCAGAGGTGGTTAATCACAAAGGAGAAGATTGCTTATCTTTCTCCCGCAGAGCATCAGGTGGATTTGAACCATGTTCCTTGGGGATTGTACCACAGATTCTTACCAGGCCACTAGAATTCTCTTTAGGGGTGTAATGTATACATTGTTATTGTTGCTGTTGTTGTTAAGTGAGCACAACTCATAGTGATGCTATGAACAAAAGACCTGAACTTTTTCTATAACTATTGTCATTTCTCTAAGTTCATAGAGTTTCCAGAGGCATATTGTTTAGGAAGTGGATACCACTTCTGCAAAGATTGTTGTTGTTGTTGTTGTTATGTGCCATCGAGTCGCTTGTGACTCATAGCGACCCTGTGTACAACAGCCCTAAACTCTGCTCTGTCCTGTGTCAATTGCACTGTCTCCAGCACACCCATCCCAATTACCCCAGTCACTGAATCAATCCACCTCTTAGAGGGCCTTCCCCTCCTGTGCCGTCCCTCCACCCTCCCAAGCATCACATCCTTCTCCAAGGACCAGTCTCTCCTTACAATACGACCAAAGTATCTCAGACGAAGCCTCAGAATCCTTACCTCCAAGGAGCAGCCTGGTTTAACCCTCTCAAGGATGAATCTCTTTGTTTTCTTAGCAGTCCATGGTACCCTCAATACTCTTCTCCAGCACCACAGCTCAAAGGCATCAATTCCCCTTCTATCCTCCTTAATCATTGTCCAACTCTCTGATGTATAACAAGTGATTATAAAGACCATGGCCTGTATCAGACGCACCTTAGTCTCCAGAGATACACCATTGCTCTTCAGTACCCTGGAGAGGTCCCTAACAGCAGACTTTCCCATGGCAATACATCTTTTCATTTCCTGGCTGCTGTTGCCAAGAGTGTTGACTGTGGAACCAAGCAGACTAAAGCTGTGAACAATCTCAATCTCCTAAAAGGAATACAATTATCTATTGAATTATCCTATGATCAGGCCTAAAGGATCCAACCATCTGATCAATTGTGATCAATCACAAAGTCAATCACGAAGCCTAATATACAATTCATCAAAACTGGTAGCCACAAACAACAGAGGTTTTCACCTCAATTTCAGAGGATTTCTGTGTAACAAGTAAGGCATGACCAATAAATCCTAATAGCCTCTTTCTTGTGTTATCATGCATGAGTACATGTTTGTGCATATGGCCTCAATTACTCCAATTTTACAGAAAATTGCTCCTTAGTATTTTTAAGAGGATAAATGATTTGCTGTAAATAGCCAATGATCTTTGATGTATATTCAATAAACTCATACTAAAAAGACATGTTAACAAGGTGCAAGATTTTAGAAATCAGTATCTTCAGTCTTAACTTGTGCCATAAGGACATTTGATAAGCCAAGGCAGTACTTCTTTGGGTGTTTGAATCCACAAGCTGCTCCACAGGAGAAAGTTAAGCCATCTTCTTTTGCAATTTACGGCCTTAGAAAGATACTAGAGTGTCATCTATGAATTGAAGCCAACTTGACAATAATAAGAGAGAGACTCCAACTCCAATTTACACTCTATAACCCCACCGAAGAGTTGCTTTTCAAAAAAGCCTTATCTCTCTTAATCTGAGACATGTTGTTAGGAAGTGCCAGAGAGATAATCAACACTGCACTGGAACAGATAAAGGAAGAAAACTATTTCAAAGGGATACATGATTGGGCATTATTTGTATGACAACAGTCCAGAAAGTGGATTGGGGCTGGGAGGAAATTATGCAATGATGAATGAGTTATTTTTTTTTAAAGTGAACTTGGCAGTGGGGATCGGGGGGTCTAGGGAGAAAAGTGTGCAACAGTGAATGAATGAAAATCCAACTTTTCTGTAAACGTCCATTAAAATAACAATAAAATTTTAAAAAGAATATAACATTAAAAAATAAAAAGGGCATCATGCTCAGAAAGTGGAAAGTCAGAAGAAGATTCTCAGCAAGATGGATTGGCACAGTGACACCCAATGAGCTCAAGTGTGGCACAGATGATGAGGTTGGTACAGGATAGGCAGATTTCAGATTCATCATTCAGAGTTGCTATGAGTTAATGGTCAGCTTGATGGCACCTAACGTCAAAATTTTTTCTTCCTTTTGTTATAGCAAGTTTCATACCAATATTAGTCCGTTTCCTTAGCTAGACTTTATGCTCTTCTGCAGCAGAGATTATTAATTGGGACAGAGGCGGGGAGGATAACTGAGTAAACAAATGTATCTTCATCAAGTTCTTGTTTATTCTATGCAAGATACTTTGGAGGAAACAATAGAAGGACATGTCGAGCCACCAACAAACCTTATTTGGATCTTGAACTCAGTGCCTTAGAGTTGGGACTTTACCTCCAGCTGGGTTTCAAGGCTGTAAATCTCATGAGAGGAGAATGATTGCCTATTTTTCTCCTTTGGAGCCACTGGTGAATTCGAGCCACCAGAGAGGCACAGCCTGCAGACTAGGCCACCAAAGTGTGATACCATTGGAAAATAGGAGGCTATCTTGTTTGATGCATATTTCTATCTAAAAGACCTTAGAAGTAGAAGAGAGTAGTAGTTAAGCCTGTAAAAGTGGTGGTTGAGCAATTTTACCTCCTAGTGGACATTTGTCAATAACTGACTGGAGCCTTTACTTGGAGTCACTATTCAGAGGGTGCTACTGGCACCTAGTGGCTAGAAGCCAGGATTGCTTCTGAAGATCCTGTAATACACAGAACAGTTTCTTCGTCCTCCTTGTTCTGCCTCCTTGCCTGAACCTCACAAATCAATAGCATTGAGTTAGGGAAATCCTGCCAGCTCACTCCCCAAACTTTTACTTTGCCAAATATCTCTAGTCCTGAGATATTTCAGAAAAAATATATTTGTTTGGGGAGTGAGCTGGCAGTGGGCACTCAGAACTGGACTTTGAACTGACTTAATTATACATGATTCAACAATGCCTCTAGAGTTCTGTTAGCCAAGTGGCAAGAAGCTGTGCTGCAGTCTCAAAGGCATGTGGTTTGAGTCCATCATCTGCTCCATGGGAGAAAGATGGTCAGTCTCCTCACATGTGATTAACTGCCTCTGCAAACCAGTCAGCTGTGGGTTGGTTCTGACTCTACAGTACACAACAACAACAGCAGAGCTAATAACAGTTATTTATAAGAATAACAGCACTTGTTGTTCTTGCTTCTTGTCGAGTTGATCCCAACTCATAGCAACCCCAGATGTCAGAGTAGAACTACATCAAAGAGGTTTTTTGGTTTTAATCTTTATGGAAGCTTACTGCCACATTTCTCTTTAGTAGAACCTTTCACTTGGTTTGAACTACAAACCTTTCTGTTGGCAGATCTTGATAACAGTGTTAATCTAAAAAACCAATACAAAACAAAACCCAAAATCGCACAAAGCTTCAAACTCATTGCCATTGAGTGAGAACTGACTTATTTATAGCTGGCACTTGAGTATTTTTCGCATACTGTAAATCACATGGGAGGAGCTTGCTTATCTTTTCCCCACTGACCCATTGTTGGCTTCTCACACTTGTCTTTGAGTTGGCAGCACGATACACTAGGCCACCAGAGCTCCCTAGTAAGTCCTGTATGTTGGGCTTCTATGCTGACTTGCCCAAACACTCACATGCATTATGAGGTTTGATTTCCACAAGAATCTCTTGCAATACATTTTAACATCTGCATTTTATATTTGATTGATGTTAGGGACCAACGCAGCAAGCTTATCAGTGGCAGAGCCAGGATTTGAAACTAGGTCTTGTTTACCTTAGGAAGTTATGCTATTTTCATTATCTCCTTTGTTTCTGCACTTTGCAGCTATCTGAATGAAAAAGAAAGAATGGAAAGAATCACTCAGATCACTTATTCACAATTGCTTCCATTTTTTTCATTTGTTTTATACATGTAGACATGACCTTCTGGGAATATATTTCATTTGAAAAATCTAACAGTCTTACTTTAGTGGCAGCTTCTGGTATCGATTTCAAATCTCAGTACACTAATAAATAAATAAATTGAGGTGTGGGTGGGTTAGATTTTTAAAAGCTAGTTTTAAAAGAGCAGAGAAACAAGGATTATTTCCTGAGGCAAAAATCCTTTTTGGTTTGCATAATGTAAGGGTTCTGTGTCCGGTATCTTATGATTCCCTTCCCCCCTTACTCTGTATTGTTGAACATGACAAAGAAGGACAGTCCACCTTCCAAATCACGTTTAATTAAGAATTAAGTGAGGTGTTTTATTTTTTACTAGACTTCACATTTTAATCTAAAAAGAACTATTTTCCCTGTTAGCCAGTGATCATTTGTGAATCCCAATTTGTTTGCTTTCAGATCCCAGTGGGCAGAACCTGTAGAGAAATTAGAGAATTTTTCTCCTGTAGCAGAGCCAGGCTGAGATTGAGTTTTATAGTTGTTAGGTGCTGCCAGTTAATTCCCACTCATTGTATCCCTATTTACAACAGACGGAAACCTGGCTCGTTCCAGCATCATCCTCACCCTCTCTGCTGTGTGTAAGCCTATTGCAGACACCCTGTTAATCTGTCTCCTTCGCTCACTCACAGCCATGCAGTCATTTCCAACTCATAGCGAATGTCCACTGGATTTCCAAGACTATAAATCTTACTGGGAGGAGACTGCCCATCTTTTTCTGTGGAGCTGCTGGTCAATTCAAACTAGTGGAGCCACATAGCTATTAAGTTAGCAGCACAATATGCTGTAAACTATGCCACCAAAATTCCCTGTAATATATGCACTCCAAAATCAGTAAAGTCAGTCTTTCCTGCTCAGCCACTTTCTGCCACGTACTTGTTGTGTGAATGTTTCGTTGAGTCAGTTCTAATTTATAGTCGGTTCCAATGCCTGGTGGAATGAAACCCTGCCTGATCCTGTTGCTATCCTCATAATTTCTGTTATGATTAAACCCATTGTTTAAGACACTCCATCTCTGAAGAAAGTTGTTTGGTTTTTTAGCTGTCCTTCTACTTTATCAAGTCCAAAACTTATATGACCTGAGAGGAGTTACTCAACTCTGGTGAATCTCAGTTTCTTATCTATAAAATAGGGATAAGATCTATTTAAAAAATGGCTTTTCTATTCATGAAGCTATGGCTGAGATGCAGATTCAAATCAGAGACACATTGCTACTAGTATGTTACCTTGGACAAATTACTGAACTTTTCTGGGCCTCTTTTTCATCATAGAAAAATATTATTATATTAATATTTATAGGAAAGTATTAGAAAAATAATTTATAGAATAATAAAAATTTACAGAAAAATATTAAGATAATTAATAGAGGATATTAATAGTATCAATTCCATAGTTTTATGAAGATTCGGTGGGGAAAAAAATGTAAAAACCTCTGCAGCAATTCCTGACAAAAACCTTGGAAGTATAGCAGTATAAAATAAAAATTCTATTCTAAATGTAAAAAATGCCCTCGTTACTAGAGTGAGATGGTACCTCATTGTGGTTTTGATTTGCATCTCTCAAAAAATAATGCCCTCTTGGAGCTTTGAGAAGTTAAGCAGCTTGGAGAGAGGGAAGGCAAATAGGAAGGTAGACTAGCATCCATAACTCATCCTAGAGTGGACCCCACAAGCTTAGGGAATCATCCCCGTCTTCTGTCTGATGGATCCGATTACTATGAACTGGGCAGCCCAGACCGCAGAGCTGCCAGGCTATTCATCTTCCACGCAGATACTGATTGTGAAGGCCAGACTCAGGGATCATTAATGGCTAAAATGAACAGATCATCTTTCACTTTTTACACAGACAGACAGCTTGGGCCTGGCTTGTTCTTTGTGGTTTGTCTGGATCTGTCAGAAAACCTTACATTTTAGTGAGATTTTTCAGAAGGTGCTGCCCATCAGCAATGTTGTATAATGCAGGAAATTTGTCTTTGGCTTTCTTCCTCTTGGCCTGCATCATTCTCACTCAAAAACCTTTCTCCTGATTCACCCTTAGGTAGAACCAATATAAATTGGAAGACTTTTTTTTTTTTTAAATTCTCCCTCAGGGATAAAAATACCTTAACTGTGTTAAAAGGATAATCACTGGAGGTTGAGAGTTTGGCCAGCTTAATCTGTTAAGGAAAATACTGATGAGTTTTTCTGCTACTGAAACCCCATAAGGAACCCTATTTTCAAATACTAGTATTTGATGATTTCTCAAATTCGTGTATTTTGAAATTAATAGTGTGT